ATCCTTTCTTCTTTCCTGATAGACTTTCCTTAGAGAAAGGCAATGGTAGAAATCCTGCCAAGAGAAACCTTGGATAGGTTCACCTTAGGGTTACATAAACTGGAAATAACATGAAAGCGCACAACAACAACAACAACAATCTTGTTTAGAATAACTTGGCTTACACTGACTTGATCACACTGGCAACAGATTTTGCTGTACATGCATTCTTTCTTCTTCTTTCCCCCCCTTCTCACCTTAGAAAACTTACCAAGGTTCTCAACTATTATGTTGGAAATGCAGATGACTCCAGCAAGACAGAATTGCTCTTTGCTGCTCTAAAAGCCTTGAAATATCTCTTCCGGTTCATAGTTCAGTCAAGAGTACTTTACCTGGGGTAAGTGAAAGATAGAAATCATGTGCTCAGAATGAGCATCTCCTTTTGGAGTAAAAAGCAGCCATTCTTCATTTGGAATCTCTCATCCATTTGTGAAGATGCTGGAACTGGTCACTGATGCAAAACGTGAGCAATGGGAGAGCCCTTACTTTATCTGTTTTGTTTTTCTTTTGTTTTAACCTTTAGGCTTCAGAGCTACACTTGGAAATGCATAGTCAGTGTATGAGGAAAACTGCCAGAAAGGGGAGTCAGATTTTGAGAAGTGGGAGAATGGTCAGAGCCTTTCCTACCATTAGGCTGAGTGAAAAATGGTTTCCTCAAGCTTATGATTTAAGATATTGTGGGAAGAGAACCAGTGTGGTGTAATGGTCTGAGTGTTAGACTACAACTGTAGACGCCAGAGTTTGATTCCCCGCTCAACTACGACATGAAAATATGCAATGCCAGCACAATGAGGGAAGATTGTGTGCAATTGTGGCTTGAATTTTAGGTGAACAGTTTTCAAGAGTAGCTCAGCATGCACAAATGAACCCCTGGAAGGACTCCCTCCATGTTGGCTATATAAATATGGTTTAATTTTCAACTCCCCCACCCTGCAGAAGAGCCATTGAAAAAGCCTTGTAACTAACCAATGGATATTTAATATAGAATATTCTTTCTCCTCATAGATTTTATGGCAAAAGTGAAGATGACGATGAGTTTAACAATGCCATCCGCAAACTTTTCCTCTCCTTTAACATCCTCATGGACCGGCCACTTGAAGAGGCTGTTAAGATCAAGGTAAGTGCAAACTTCCTAAGATGAAATTTTGCATTCAATTCAAGAAGGATGTGGACAAGCTGGAACATGTCCAAAAGAGGGCAACCAAAATGGTGAAAGGTCTGGAAACCATGTCCTATGAGGAGGAACTTAGAGAACTTTTAGAGCAGCAAAGAGCAATTCTGGAAGAGAGAAGGTGAAGAGGCGACATGATAGCCATGTTTAAATATTTGAAAGAATGTCATATGGAAGAAAGAGTGAGCTTGTTTTCTGCTTCTCCAAAGACAAAGACAGGAACTACAGGAAAAGAGATTCCATCACTAGTGGAATCCATTAGGAAAAACTTCCTGATGATAAGAGCTATTCAACAGTGGAAATATATTACCTGAAAATGTGGTGGAGTTAAGCAGCTATTCTCTACCCTTTCATGACTCCCAGATCTCCACATATGGGAAGGGCCCACTGTATGTTCTCAAACAGAAAATAGTCAATATTTTTAGAATGGAGGGGTTCTTCTGATTCTTCTCTGTTTTTATCTCTTGCAGGGTGCTGCCTTAAAATATTTGCCAAGCATAATCAATGATGTCAAACTAGTCTTTGATCCAGTGGAGCTCAGGTAGCTATAAGACACTTTTCTTCCTTTATATCTGTCACAGAGACACCAGGGAACATTTTGGAAGCTGTTTAAAATCCAATGATCCAAATTACTTTTTCCAAAAAGAAATCATGATGACCATAGCCAGATGCAAAATGATTATAGGTGCATTGAGACCTCTCCAGAAGATCTCAGCAGGTCTCCATAGTGAAATCACTATGAGAAGATGCTTCTGAGATCCTGCCTCTTCCCCACAAAGCAGGGAATGGTTGTGTAAAGGGGTTCAGAGATGCATGTCCCTAACAGGATCTAACCTATATTTATATCTGTACCTATGAATAGATATGGATATAGATATAGATATGAATTTTGTATCTGAGTTCTGACAAGACAGCATCTGAATTTGGAGGTTCTGTATTACTGTTAAGGAAAACTTAGGCTGTATTTGCACTGCAGAAATAATCCAGTCTGACACCACTTTAACTGCCATGGCTCAATGCTATGTAATTGTTGGAACTGTAGATTTGGGAGACATTTAGCCTTCTCTGACAGAAAACTCTAGTGCCACCACAAACTACAAATTGCAGGATTCCAAAGGATGGAACCTTGACAATTGAAGTGATGTCAAACTGGATTATTTCTGCAGTGTGGGTGCAACCTTAATTCTACAAACTTTAGACTCGACAGGGATGAACTGTCATATCAGGAAAGAAATGGACATTTCTTTTTTTAAAAAAAAATCATAAGCCTTTGATAAAATGCAGTATGTTTCATTTTTCCTGGGACACAGGTCCTGTTTCTTGTAGCTCTTGGTGCTTTTCATTAAGCATTATTTAAATTGTTTTTACTGCATGTTTTGATTTGCTGCAAAGTCCTTGGGAAATGGTTTGAAAGGGACAATAGAAAACTGGATCATAAAAGTTGTCGCTGAAGCGATGCTGAAAATGTTAATGGAACTAAAACTTTCCCTCCCACATATCCTGCTTTTCAGTGTCCTTTTAAGCAAATTCATCCAAAGCATTCCTGATAACCAGCTTGTCCGTCAGAAACTCAATTGCATGACAAAGGTTGTGGACAGTGATCTATTCCGTCAAGCTGGTGAGTTCCTTTTTGGTTTCAGTTTTCAGTATTCTGGCTAAAAATAATAATAATTGAGGCATGAGGGAACCATCTGGTGAAGGCACTCAACATAGCATAGGCTGTGAGTTCATCAGCATCTCAAAGTATCTTATACAGCCAAAAGGAGTGGATAAACTTGTGAACAGACTATTCATCCAAGCAGTTACTCATAATCAGAATTATAGAATTGGAAGGGTCCACAAGGGAGATCTAGTCCAACCCCTTGTCATGCAGATATACATAGCTAAAGTACTTTTGCAAGATGGCCATCCAACCTCTGTTTAAACACTTTCAAAGAGGGAGTCAATTCTAC